TTAAAAATAATGCTAAACCACAATGGTTATTGTTTTATTGTGTATTTATTAATTGTTTCGGTGGCTAATTTATGTTATTCCAGAAATTGTTTAAAGATTTTATATACATTCCAACTTTTTGTTTGTTTGTCTACGCATTTATAATTTGTTAAAAAATGAACCAGTTGGAAATCAAGGTGGCGGTTGGCCAAGTGTGTATTTTATTAGTGCTGTCATTTGTTAAGTTGTCTGTTATTTCTTTATTGATTTGTTAACAAGTATTATTCTAAGTATGTCAAAGATATTTTTGCACGTGAGGAATTTTTCCAAAACATCAGTCTAATTGTTTTGGGTAAAGTAATCAGTATTTGAAACCTTTGGTTTTACTAGAAGACTGACTACACAAGCAAGATAAATGTTTTGAATCAATCCTTGTGTCTAGAGCAGGGGTTTTCAACCTTTTTCCGTCTATTAACTCTTTCAGGATCGTTGATCGATTGCATTACCCCTCTTTCACATAAGTCATACTATTTCGTGATTTTTATTTTTTCATATGAGAGAATACAGCCTGACTGAACACAACAAATTAAGTTATTATTGTCCAAACATTTCATGCTAGATTACACAGCACCTCAATACCCCCAGAAATGTCAAAATTATTCCTTTGGAGGTAAATATCCTCAGGTTGAAAACCCCTGGTCTAGGGTATAAATATTTTTGTCCGATTATACTTACATGTATGTTTTATTGTATCTTTAAAAATCATGATTTTATTTATTTATTGGAATAGGTCTATTGAGTTGATGAGGGAGAACTTACTTCTTAATTGAGAAGAATTTTGTGTTTTAAGATTTTCAGCTTTATATTTTATTTGATCCATATACATGGCCTGGTTTACTGATTCAGACATTCCATTTATCTTTGCACCACGACTTAAACCATCAAACACACTTTTTATACGTTTTTAGAAACCACAATAACGAAATTACAGGTGCCATTCTTTAATATTATGTATCAATATGCCTCCTTTATTTTTTGCAAAAAAATGTGTGTAAGATAGATGATAATATATGTGTCATAATGCAATTTATATAAGATGACACTCACCTCCCCTAACGCAAATCTGGACTCCTTGTACTTACAGACACACTAGTCCGGACTTCCCTAATCGTACTTACAGACACTCTAGTTCAGACTTCCCTACTCTTACGTACAGAAACACTAGTCCGGACTTCCCTACTCTTACTTACAGACACGCTAGTCCAGACTTCCCTACTCTTACTTACAGACACGCTAGTCCAGACTTCCTAATCTTACTTACAGACACGCTAGTCCGGACTCCCCTACTCTTAATTACAGACACGCTAGTCCGGACTCCCCTACTCTTACTTACAGACACGCTAGTCCGGACTCCCCTACTCTTACTTACAGACACGCTAGTCCGGACTCCCCTACTCTTACTTACAGAAACACTAGTCCGGACTTCCCTACTCTTACTTACAGACACACTAATCCAGACTTCCCTACTCTTACTTACAGACACGCTAGTTCAGACTTCCCTACTCTTACTTACAGACACGCTAGTCTGGACTTCCCTAATCTTACTTACAGACACACTAGTCCGGACCTCCTAATCTTACTTACAGACACGCTAGTCCGGACTTCCTAATCTTACTTACAGACACGCTAGTCCAGACTTCCCTACTCTTACTTACAGACACACTAGTCCGGACTTCCCTACTCTTACTTACAGACATACTAGTCCAGACTTCCTACTCTTACTTACAGAAACACTAGTCCGGACTTCCTAATATTACTTACAGACACACTAGTCCGGACTTCCCTACTCTTACTTACAGACACGCTAGTCCGGACTTCCCTACTTTTACTTACAGACACGCTAGCCCGGACTTCCCTAATCTTACTTACAGACACGCTAGTCCAGACTTCCCTACTCTTACTTACAGACACACTATAGTCCGGACTTCTCTACAACTCTTACTTAGGCTGTGGCATACAAGTTCGGACATAAAGTTAATCTACACTTCCATAATATGTAGCTGACTTCTGCAAAAAATCTTTGCGAAATCTGTACCAAATATTTGTAGTTTTTTGTTGTTTTACATAGGCCTACTAATCTCATACATTTTTTTAAAGAACAGTAGGCTACTGCAATAAACAGAGTCTTCTATAGTCATAGTGTATATAGTTTGATTGCTATTATGAGGGATGATTGAATGAACTCTATTTTATTACAATATGTTTTATTGGATTGTAAATAAAAATGAGTATATTATTATTCTGTTGTTTTAATTTTATAAGCTAGAGTTATAACTAGGGCCTACAGGTAACAATTTTTGACGGTTGACTCCGTGCATCTTGCTTACTAAGCCTAATGCTTTCGTCCATTGCCTTTGCCAAAGTCCTGGGCCTAACAAAGGTATCAGTCCTTCTTAGAAATGTCAAAGCAAGTTGTGAGGTAGGCCAATCAATCCCAACAAGAAATGGTAGTATAGTAAAATGTCACAGTCTTTCGGATTAGACTAACCATTATGCGTTAACTGTGAACATAAATTGCGCTCAAAATAGTATTGGAGAGCATATTCATTCACTCTAATCCATTTTCGTTCAATTCTGTTGCAAACAATCATAAAATATAAAAAATAAAAGATTATATAATTCATTGTAGGACTCCGAAAGAAAGAGATTCAAAAGTGAAATAGAGTGAAACATATTCACAATCCATGTCTATAAATTACGCTACTAAGTCACGTGACGGGCACTTGACAACAGCGTCATCATGGCTGACAAATGATTAGGAAATGGAGAAAATTTATAAACAAATGATAAAAACGTCTGAAAAAGTGGAATTTTGAGAGTCACATCTAATCAATATGTCAAGTGGTAATTAGGGTTTATCTTTTTACTTGATTCTTAATGTCGCTTTTCTAGATTTATCGAAAATTAAATTTTTTTAATTACGAAAATTTGAGGCTACTTTATTAAATTTACTTTGTCTTTGTATACTTTGACTTTGACCTTTTCACTCTACTAGTTCTATTCTGACTTTATGTTCCTTCTATGTTTTCACAAAAATTATTTTAAGGAAGTTCAGGCTAACTGTCATTTATAGTGGTGTCTTAAAAAGCACGAAAAAACTGGTTTATTCTTGGGTTCTGTCATAATTCACCTTTGAATAAAGAATATATTAGCCTAATTTGTTGATGGCTGTAATGTTTTATACAATACTACAGAAATATAAGTACTATAGTTCTGACGTTATCGTTAAGGTGGGGTCCATGGGAGCTGGGCCCCAGCAAAACCGTCTTCAGTTCAGCAGACATTGATTCATTTACAGATATTACAGTGTCTTTCAACAAAATCAAAAAGATATATAGATTTAGATACGTTTTGGCAGAAATGAAATAGAAATGAGTTTTCTGGGCCTTTAATTTATAAAGTTCCCAAGTTCCATTTGATCCCTGGCGACAGGGCTGATTATGTGTAAGGCTTAGAGTCAGTCTCTCAGAAATAATGACTGTAAAAGTTTGTGCCTTATTCAAGTTATTGCCCTCCTCTTTCTGCACATAAAGATACTAAGCTTGCTACTGCAGTTCTGATAGTCTTTTCTTAATAAAATTTGATGATTCAATGATTGTATTGTAGCCAGAAGTAATTTATCAGCTCTAGCTGAAGATGATGATGAGGAGGAAGAAGAGGAACCTGAAGTATTGGTTTGTATGAATGCATTGGAATACTCTGAGAGAAATTTAAACAAAGACACACCTGCAATAGCAGTTTAGAGTGATATTTGATATCAGTGGCTGCTGTAACATTTGATTCATTAGCAATGTCCCGACAACAAACGTCTCTCTCAGCCTTTCCCTTTTTTGACACTAGAAACAAATAAACAAAATCACACACACAAATATGAAAGAATGACAGCAGGTATTAAATACTTCTGCTATTTCTTTGTCACTTGGAATTGTGTTCACATAGTATTGTCTGACCATCAGTTTATAGAATCGCATTTTAGCAATATTACTTTTGTATGAAATGAATTAAAACTGAGAGTCTAAGATTGTCTTTGGTTGATGAAAATGTTAAGTATGGTCTGAGAGTGGTTCAAATCATTAATTTTGTTGTCTTGAAGTTTTCATTTGTATAATAAAATATTTTAATGGTTTATTTAGAGCTCTGAAGAGTCTGAAAATGAAGGTGAAAATGGTCCATTAAAAGAACCCAATAAGTTTGATGTTTTATGTGATGGTGTAGTGAACTCTATGGCTATTGTACAAACAGCCATACAAGAATTACTTGGATTAAAGGATGAAATTTTACAGCATACTTTACCCCCAGCTGTTCTTATTAAATTTGCAACGGTTTGTGGCAGGGTCTTTCGCAGGTAAATTTTGTTTTGTTTTTGAATATGTATCTCATTTTTATAACTTGAACTTACATGGAGGAAATTCATGATCATATCAATGGCATATGCAGGTATGTAAACCTGGACTAGAGAAACACAAACAGTAGTAAGGGTAAAGTAAATTCAAAACGGAATGAAAGATATCGTGTGGAGATCAATCGAAGTTTTTGATCTTTGATCTTCATATTCCTTACAGTGTTAGTGATCAGAGTAAACCAGTGAATGAATTAGTAAGAATGGTCCAAGTTTATTCTACTCCATGGGAAGAAAAAAGTGCTGCGTTAAAGAAACTACATGATGATTATGAAAATAAACAAAGACAGTTAAATATTGCAATAAAACGTCTTCAGTTAGTCGATGCACATGTAAGTTTCTTGATTTATTTTCATTTTAAGCTTAAAGGTGCTAAATATTAACATATTAAGTGCTAATGTTTACATTTATTCTATCTATAACGATTAAATGCCGCTTGTACTACTTTTATTTATTCCTAATCCTGCAGTTGTTGACATTTTATTTAAAGATGGGTTCCCTTGTTTTCATTTAAGAAAATGAAAATGCTAATACTTACATGAATAGAAAGAAGAGGTGTTTTAATGCCTTGGAAAAATACTGGTTTGTCTTAGATAACCATAATTAATTCATAATTAGCTAAATTAGAAGAGAATTACCAGCAGAATTCAAATGAGTGACTGATCAAGAAAGGTCAAAAAGTCTTTTTTTGTTTATCCAGACTGTACATACATTGACATTTATGATTGGTTAAAACTCTTAATTATATGCAATAAAAACCTAATATGATTAAGATTACATGAAACACCAATTAATCAAACGGTTTGCTTAATTTGACACTAAAAAAAAGGAAACCCATCTTTAAGTGAATTAATTCAGATCTTTATCATTTCTAATGTTTCAGTCTAAAAGAATAGCTAGAGAAAAACGAATAATGAACTGGGAGAAATTATTTGCTAAAGTTACCAGTACCAAGGGTCATGGTAGAAGATGGAAATTTTTAATTGAAACAATTAAACAGAAGGCCAAAATGGGGTAAGGCTTGCAATAATGTCATGCAATTACATAGATTTTCTTCTTTTTCTTTACCAGTTGGTGTTAGGGTGTATTGAGACGAGTCTCAATGAAAGCACTGGCCTAGGTCACACAGCAATAGATAAGTCTATTAATTATGTGAAAATTAGTTAGTCATTAGTATGATTTTAGTTGAAAAGTTGTTATTACTTTTAGCTTCTTGTGACATTTTCATTGTCAAAATCTATTTTCTATTTCATCTAAAATCACATTGATATACACCGCTGCGTTGAAAATTAAAACAATTAAAACATCAATAAACAGAAAGTTGGGATTTGTATATTATATTTGGTATGAATCACCCGTACCAAGGCCTATATATATTAACCTAACATTGAGTAATTAACATTACAATCTATTTTATAAAATATACCATGTGTATCATTGGGTATGGCATGTACAAGAATACCTATTACAATATCTACATTGGATGGAAATATGTTATACTGTAATTCAGATATTTTGTTTACTATTATTAGATATGAACATGTTCAAGAATATACCAGATCATTAGAGGAGTCAACAGATTCAGAGTCTGAAGAAGAGGAAGATACATTAGTAGCTCAGCAATCAGTATTAGATGTGACGAGTGCTGGACCAACTACTAGTGTCACACCTAGTGAAAAACCAGATTCAGTAAGTTACAATATTTATATTAAGGAACATTGGACCTCATTGTAACTAGTCCTAAAGTGACTGGTTTATAAATGACCAGCAAGCAGACTGGATCGTTTTCCGGCTAACTTGCTATTCGATATCTGTATTTTTCTTTGGAGAGCTTTCTAACTAGGCTACTTTAGTAAGGGAGATAACTTTTAATACGTAACTGATGATTAAGACCACAATATTACAGTTTTACATTATGACATTATATTAAAGGAAGTGGTAATAGAATGATGATGATGATGATGATTCTAGTGATAAAGAACCTGATACTCAAGGTGGTTCCATACTGTCAGGTACCACACCTATAGGTGATATATTAAATGCTACAGTGGGAGATATTGATGAAGAAGATGCACTTGAAAGTGTTGAAAGTATGGAGGACATTGAAAGTGGACATGTTTCACCAAAGGTAACGTATTATGCAAATTCTAAAAGTTGAAAAACTTAGTATTTTACCTCCTCTAGCTCAAAACAGAATCAACAATTTTATTCCAACAAAATTTCCTCTGAGCCAATTCTCAAAAAAATGTACTGTCCCATGTGACTGATTTTGTGGTTTATAGTCTAATATTTCCTGAATTAATTAATTGATTAAATAATGACCCTATAAAATGACAGTTCTCCTGATCTTTTCCTCAGAAAGTACGTTTTGGTCAGGGAGAAGTCACTTTTGTGAAACCAGAAGTGAAAGATAATTCGACATGGACTGATGAGACAGAATATAAAGAGTATTTATATGTTCGAGTATTTAAACCTATTGGACTAGGACAGCATGAAATAAAATGTTCACTAACTTATGGTAATCAAATGTTCAAAACTGGTGTTCTGGATTTAAAACAACAGGTTTGTATTCATGCTTTTTTATTGATATACATTTAAAATAAAAATATTATAACAGAACCTGAAACATGTTGTTTACTCAAAGTTTTATACTGTGGATCTTAAGACAACTGACCTATTTCAGCAGATGTCTCTAGTGAAGCGTTAACTCTGCAATAACAACATCAATTTTCACAGGCAATTCTTTCCCTATGTAGAATTATGAGAAATTTGAAAGGCCTCCATTCTAACTCTAAGAGTGTGCCATGCCCTGGACCCCAAACCCTATAGAAAATATCACTGGATGAGGCTCTGGAGTAGGCTATTAGAAAACTGAAAGTTATTGTTATATTGATATTATGGATCTTGGTTTTTTAGGAAGAGGAAGAAGGACCAAAAAGTCCTACCAGACCCCCAGCAGCTGGTAGACATCATGGCAGAAGTAAGTTGTATAAAACTTATATTCTAAGAGTTACTGGTATTTTATAGAGTATCTTACAAGATAAAAGATAACATATTTATTGTGAAAGTCTGTTAAGTAGTTGTAAAGCTATTGAAATAAATAAGATTTATCCTTCATTAAATGACATGCAGTGCAGCTTTTTCTGCTTGTAAACCATTTACTATTTGTTTTCCAGCCAGTAGATCACCATTAGTGGAAGAACCACCTCCGAAGAATCATGGCAGGTTAGTTGATGTAATTTCTTATTTCAGCCAAATCACTTATCATAAGAAATATACAGAAACAGAGTAAGATATCGAGTATTAATGTATTTGATCAGATATATGCTACAAAGTTTCTAAATATTATGCAATCATTCATACTTTTATGCATCATTCATGTTTTCCTGCATCATTCATGCTTTCATGCATTCATTCATGCTTTCATGCATTCATTCATGTTTTCATGCATTCGTTCATGCTTTAAGCATTCATTCATGCTTTTATGCTTTCATTCATGCTTTCATGCATTCATTCATACTTCTGTGCATCATTCATGTATTCAGTCATCTTTCTTGCCTGAGAATAAAATATATGTATGTACAAAATCAAGGGGACTGAATGAATGATTTGAACTATTTCTAGATATGAAGAGTTTATGTTAAATATTGACACCCCAACTAATGTACCAGGTGAAAAGTTGAAACCACTTCAGTTTGCTATACAACATGGCCAGTTTGAAGAAATAGTAGCAATGGCTGCTGTCGAAGTCTCAGATTTAAAACAATTGGTATGTATTCAAAGATATTTGTAGATATGTTCATTATTGGTGTTCATCTGTTCTTATCTCTGTGAACATTCCTGCATTGTAATGTAATCCGCACAGCAGAGCAGCTAAAGATGTGGAAGTCGGAATTCTATTTCTTATTTAAGATTACGCACCACTGTGCTTGATTTCATTAGCGTAATAAGCTTCAAAAAAGGAGAATGGTTTCTTTTCTTATTTTCCAGGATCTAAAAACAGTGTATTTACCCCCAGTTAAAGGTGATGATGATGTCTTGAAGCAGGATGATGATTTAGATTCTATAAATTCTCTATCTGAGTCTATAGACATACCACTCAATGATACAGATTCAGAGAAAAGTCTGGTCATTAAAAACGAAGCCCTGAAATATGTGGACCCTATTCCGTTCCCATTATTTCCTTTAAAGACTGGAAGATCAAGCATTGCCACTCCTGGTTCTCTCCCTTTGATCTTCTACTGGGGCAAACGACCGCAACCCAAAACATTCAACAGACAAATAGGTAAGTTTCTTTTCATTGCTTTATATTTAGATAGTAAATTTAAATATGTTAATTATCTGTCATGGTTCATGTAATTCCACTAAAACTAAGCATTTTATGTTATCACTTTACCAAAAGCCCTTAGATATTACTAGCAGCTTTTGTGATATTGCTTAGTTGCAAATCGTGCTACCATCATCCTCAATATAAATAAAATTTTTAGAAACCTCTTTACAATCCTTTTCCAAAGGTGTGTGAACTTATTGAAAAGGATTCTTTGTATATTAAGGCACTATGGGTGTGAAAGAATTAGTCTATGATTTAACTGGTATAGATCTACATACTACAACTAAAGAAGATTTAAATAAAGAAATGAGAGATGATGCTTGTTCTGCTATACTCTTTACTCCAGAACCTACAGAGGTTAGTTTTTTGGGGGTTTTTCAACTGAACATCCACAGTAGTATATGAGTTTTCTGATTGGAAGCATTAAAATGTATCCAATAGAAAAAGTTATATACTACTATCCACTTCAGAGTTAAATGTCATTCATCGTGACCTTTCATGTAAACTTGGTCTAAAATGAACTTTAATTTAACAGTATCATAGGGTAGTGCTCAACATGTAAATTTAATTTGCAATCTGGTATTCTATTAGCAAGGCAAACTTAGGCCATACAAACTAAATAGTCTGATTTACAGGCCCAAAAATGCCTGATTGTTGCCTTAATATTAAATATACATTAAATTTGTGGCAATATATGCTTTCTCTCGCTCCGATTTATTCCAGTTGAAAATCTAAAAAAGCGCTTATGGATAATAAATAATAAATTCGCCCTCTCGCCCCGTTTTTTGAAAAACAAGGCCTGTAAAACAGATTATTTATTTTGTATGGCTTTATGATTTTTTTTATACATAATTGAATAATTCTTCCTTTTTTTAAGTTTGAATTTGTAAATAAGATAATGATAATATGACCACCAAAACATAAATTTTGATTTATTTTTAGGAAACCGTATTAAAATCAGAATTTGAGGCATTACAGAATAAACATGAAAATGAAATTCAAGTTTTACAGACCAAATATGAGTAAGATATAAAAGTTTAAAAATTTTTCGGCCTTTTGTGCAGCAGACTGCCCGTTTAAGAGCCGTCAAGTCCTGGAAATCAAAACTGTCTCAGCTGTCATCTCTCTCATTGAATCTGAAAGGTGTTGTCCAATGAAATATAGAATAGTAAGATGCTCTGTTTTTGAATATATTTTTGGCTCAAGACTGTAGATTGAGTCCATGTTGTATTGAATACAATTAGATAAAGACATTAAGTTCCTTTTCATTGTTTTAGAACTAGATTACAAGAACTAATGGACAATCTGAATTCCATGGTGGAACAACAGAAACAGCAACAACAGAAAGCGAAATCACCAAAAGCTACACCTCGTCAAGTATCAAATATTAGTCGTAGTACAGATTCCGCAAAGTCTAATAGATCTGTTAAAATACAGCCTGCAGCTCCACCTAGTCCCAGTCCTGTTAAATCTTCCAGTCCAATTGAGGTTGTTTTCGACCCCGGAGCACCGCCCCCTGTTAAATCACTACCTACTCCACCAAAACATAGAACTAGGTATGGTATTCATACATATTTTTGTACAAGAAATATAGGAGAAGTGTATGAGAAGCCTACTTGAACACATATTAGGGCTGTTGAATACCTGCTTTGAATACCCCAACTTGTTGATTTTTCATCTTGAGAGGGTGCGTAATATTAATGACAGAGCTTTTTCCCGTATTTACTGAAGGGTAAGAAGCAATCGTTAATAAATCAGCCATTCTCGCTACGCCTGACAATAACCTTGTATGCAGTTGGCGAATAAATCGTACTACTTTCAAATATAGGTCATGTGACAATAGCTTAATTTTCTTCTCCATTGTTGACATCTGACTAGTCTCTGACTACCAGACTTCTCCTGTCTATGGAGGATAGAGTCTAAACAACTGACGAACTATATTTTGCAACGCGGATGTAACTTTCGCCTAACAATTAAAGAAGATTTTCTTCCATCTGCATACAAGGTTATTCAATAACCGTTATTGTCGGACAATGGCTGCTGTAAATACGAATGGGTAAGAAGAAGTGCGCGTTATATTCGCAGTTATGATATATGAGACCAGGCCTTTTGTTGTAAAATTTTCATTTGTGTTTAGTCAGAATTTTTAAAGGAGATTTAATTATACGTTTAAATATTTCGATATTGTCAGTAATTTACATTGTGGCTTTGCTGTCACAAAAACTAGATTTTATGGTTTGATGTTAGATACCTTTAAACTTATTATAGTTATACTGTTAAAAAATTACATCAGACTTATCTTGCAGATATATTTAACTATGATAATTTGTATTTTTCAGACCTCTACCACCCCCGACTAGAGTCAATAAGAATTTCCTGGTTGGTAAACCAAATCCGAAATGGGGTGAAAATCTACCTCAAGATGTAAGAAATAATTTTTTCTTTGATTTTGTTTTTTTCTATTTTATTCTGACTTCTACACTGATATTCTATTTTTAAAAAGATGAATTTTTGAATATTTCACGATATCAAATACCCATGTCCCATTACTATCTGGAATCTAAACCTCACCATATACAATAATAATACAATACCTACCACAGCACTTTCTAAGGTTGACCTCAAAATCAAATATTATTTGGACTGTATGAAGTTGTTTCCTATGTTCTAAGAATATTACAATCATGAATTTCTATACTATAATTTACTTTCAGTTTATTTGAAAGATTATAGTTATTGATTCACATTACTGGATGTCTTTGAATTCATTCCATGCCTCACAAACATCTACCCCATCTCAATTTCTAATATTACCATCATTTGATTTCAGTTCTTTGAAAGATTAAAGTTATTTGAAGAAGAGAGTAGGTTAAGGAAACAAGAATTAAATGAGAAGACATTAGAAGAAATAAAACATAATCTAGAACAGAAACTGGCTGGTCAACATAAACTTAGCAAGAGAGAAGAACAAATGTACGATGCTTTGAAAGGTTTGTTGGAGTCTTCTGAATATTTGATTGTGGAGTTAATGATTTTCTGACATTGTGTCTTTTGGATAAAGACAGTGCTGTGTTCACCTTTTGGATCCAACAGATCAAATTGGAACATGGATAACAAACTAGATATATCAGATGTCCATCAACCTGTCCATGAGAAAACCTCTTGGCATTGATCTCTCTTGGATTATTGTTCTGTTAGGGGTTGTGTTTCAATGGATGGCTTGAATTCAGAGATAAAACACCCATCTACAGCTGGTTTGTCAGGAATATTGGCAAAAGATGACTGAGCCAGCACTCCAAGGTTTTAAGATTCGGTTATAAAACCTACAGATTTTACTGTTAATTCACTATAGTCCCTAGACTGAATGTATAATCAAAGTAGATATTCCTATTTATTTTCATTTCAGATGTGAGTCTACCAGCGTTATTTATGCCGTATAAAACTGGTAATGTTTATAATCCGAGAGCTCATCAATATTTTCATCCTACAGGTGGGATATCAACTTTTTATTTTATATTAACCAGAATTATAGGGAGCTAGTTTATAGCACTGCTGATTTAAAAGTTATTGTCAATGTCAGGTCAAATCAGATATACTTTGTGGGATTTGAACTCCTGGTGCCTAAATTGTACATACACTACATACTTTATTGAAGACTTACATTGTGTTTATAACTACCTACAATTATTATGGACTGCATGTACTTGTGTTTTTAATCAGACCTGAAGAGCATATAAACATCTTTCCTTAACAATACCTGAATATATAGTGGACTACATGTGCTTGTTGATTAATTTCGTGATGTTCAAAAGATTTTGATTAACCTTTGTCTAGGCTAGTTAGGCATACTGTTGGTATTAATTTGTATTTGTATTTCAGGTAGTCAAGATATGAGACTAACTCAACCACCATCAGTATTTCAACTACCACCATTAAAAGCTGGGGATGTATCCTTTTTTATAATTTTAATTTCTTTTACGTAGAAAGACATATCTGGATATTTCTACGAATATTTTTACAGTGGGTGACACTACTTGCCATGGTAACAGAAAAACATGAAAATTTAACAAAACACAAGACAATATTATGGAATATAACACACTTCGTTAATAAGGTTAGGCACATTTGACAATATTGTGTTTTGTTATATGTGCTCCTCGCTTCTATATGTCGTTCAAATCTTACATCATTAGTATCAATTGTGTAGCTTACAAGCCAAGATGTCTGATTATCAAATAAAATACTGATAGGGGCATGATTCTAAATTATGAAAGCTTTTAGATGTCTCAACCATTAACCCCATCTGGAACACCTCATGCCACTCTGCCACTTGTTCTGCAACTTCAATTTCTTTTCTAAGAGTCCCTTATATTGTTTATTCAGTATATCCATTAAGATTTTTCTTAACTCTCTCATAGAAAATGTCTGTTTTAAATCTGTTTGATTTAAGTCGTAATTTTCAACGTCCCAAAGAATCATGGTTAATGGATAAATATATTCAACAGCAACAGCCTCTAGAGTATCCTGGTTTAATAGCCTCATCAGACAGGACAGCATCAGGCTTTAAAAGTTCCAGTGGTCCTCAATTACCTCTAGATTCTAAATGTAGTAACTCTCTTACTGATAGACAGCAACAACCAGACACCAGTAGACATGATCAACAAGTTCAAGCTTGAATTGATGTTTACAAGTAGATACAATCAGTAAGTGCAATCTGGAATAAGCTTTCTGATAGACTGCAACAACCAGAAACCAGAAGACATGATCAACAGGTCTAAGCTAATGATTTAACTTCATTATAGACATCAGTAACCAACCACAAGTAGATACGATCAGCAGGTTTAAGCTTGAATAGATATAAAAGGAGTCGTATCAACTAGAATGCTGTGTTCAACACATGGAAACTAACGAATCAAATGAACATTGAACAAAAAATCACATAGGCTATTCATTCATATGAAGTGTCCATGAAATTTGTGTTACGAACCTCGCGTGAAAAAGGTCTATTATCACCTTAAGTCAGAAAATATGCTGTCAGATTTAAAAGGGTAAGAACAATCTGTCTCATAAACGCTTTATTAGCTCTGTTGTCTAAATAAATTTTATAAGGTAATTTGAATGCATCAGGATTTCAAGTCTCGATTTTGTTTTTTCGCAATGAATTAAATACATAATGTGTTTTGATTTTATGGGATTTTTTAGTTCTAACTTTTAATAGGACTTTTTGTTTGAAGCCAGGAAAAGAATTTGTAGTTTCTCCACCCATCCTTTGTAATTTATTCTTGTAGAGTTTGTGTGAAATTTAGCTGATCATGCCAAAATTTGTAATCGGTATTGATTATTTTGATACATGAAAATTATATTTTTAGAATTTTCAGTATTGAAACTCTGTATATCATGATACTGCTGTATATTGTGATACATATCATGATACTGCTGTACAGTGTGATATCTTTTGTGATACTGCTGTAGGCTATATCATATATATATATATCGTGATACAGCTGTACATCGTGATATTTATTGTGATACTGCTGTACACCGAGATATTTATTGTGATACTGCTGTACATTGTGGTATATATTGTGATACTGCTGTGATATGCATCACAATACTGCTGTATATTGTGATATGTATATTGTGATACTGCTGTATATCATGTTTATTGTGATCCTGTATATCGCGATACTGCTGTAGAAGGTGATATATATCACGATACTGCTGTAGAAGGTGATATATATCACAATACTGCTGTAGAAGGTGATATATATATATATATATATCACGATACTGTTGTAGAAGGTGATATATATCACGATACTGCTGTAGAAGGTGATATATATCCTAATATTTATTGTGATACTGCTGTATTTTATATTATTATAGACTGTGATATTAATATTACTTTTACTCCATCTAATAAATTATTTATTTGGATGCTCTTTTAATATCTTGGTTTACCATTTAGGCCATGGTGAAACTGTCCTCAACTTTTCCAAAAATATCAACCCCAAGAGCTGACCCCGACATCAAGTCATGCTTGTACCTTGAGATCCATTAGATCTGTGGTATGTTGCTGCTTGCTGGAACATAAGGAAACCCAAGACAGTGCAATTTGTTTTATTCCATTTTTTTTCTATATAAACTAACTAAAGATCTGAAAGTATGAATTGCTGGTTTTGATAGTAAAATGATGTTTTAAAATGAAAAAATAATAAATACATGCATTCCATATACAATATGACACGAAGTAAATTAAAATGATGTATGAATTACCACAAACAAATATATAACATGAGTTATGATTGGTCAAATTCACTACATACATGACAATTCAAAATGTAATACGGGTTATGATTGGTCTATTTCACCACATACATGACAATTTCAAATGTAACATGGCTTATGATTGGTCAAGTTCACCACATACATAACAGTTGAATATGTAACATGTGTTATGATTGGTCTATTTCACTACATACATGACAATTGAATTGTAACATGGGTTATGATTGGTCAAATTCACCACATACATGACAGTTGAATATGAAACATGTTATGATTGGTCTAGTTCATCACATACATGACAGTTGAATATGTACCATGGGTTATGATTGGTCTAGCTCATCACAATTCAAAATGTAACATGAGTTATGATTGGTCAATAAATTAATCATGAGATGACAAATTACCACTTTCATACATACAGAATCATTTTCATAGAATTCTTGATCATCTCTCAACATTTTCTATCAAGGCATATTTCGTAAATGACCAATTCAGTCAGGCTTTGAACATCCATAGTCAAGCATATCCCAGTTTATTCAAATCATCAACACTTACAGTAATTATTAAATAGATTAGAAACCTAGTGTACATAAATAATATTAGACGTTAATTGATATCTTAATCTTACTCAAAACAAACTTGCATATAAAAATTCTTACTTTGTCTTTAATACAATTTTGCAGTATTAACTCACAAGTTTAACATGTCTTGATGATCTACTAATTAATTATCATTATTTTGATTATCTAATTAGCAGATTAGAAGCACAAGTTACAGATAAAATAGACAATTATTATGGATAGACACTTTGATACATGTTTCAGGTTCTGTTTTAATATTTCTATGTGGCTCTACAATTGATATATTGAGCACTATTTTAACAGTGGTATTTCTATATCGCTCTACAATTGATTTATTGAGCATTATTTTAACAGTAAAAGTATTTTATTATGGGAAGTTACTAATATACCTATACATTCATTATATTCCTGATGATGGTGTGAGAATCACATTGAAACATTGAAAATAATATATATTCAAGAATATCATTTAGAAAGATTTCAAACTTTGACCAGAGATGATCTGATTCTGAACTGTGTCTAAAATCCTAGTGGAGGTATTTATCCATAATTATTGTCTTATTCATTCCTTAATCAACTAATTTGCCCTTAATTAATTGAATGATTGCATATTACATATCATTTCCTTAACGAACTGCCAGTTTGCAACTGACATCTGACAATGAAGTTAACATAATTCAATAAATTAACAGTTTTTTTAAATAAAAATTTGATAAATAGCATCGAACAAAATGAGGCCAATTTTCTTCATAATTCTACAGTAGTTTCTATATTTTCTTATAAAACAGGAGATTTATAGGAAAAAAGCTGAAACTCTCATTAATCTCAGCAAAAATACTACAAACCATAGTTTAAATATAAATTTTGAAACACACTTACAGCTATGTAGAAGTAAATCACACTCAATACTAGAAGACAAATTTAAGGCATACTACTCCCGGGGATTTATTGTAAACAATGTTTCAACAGTTTACACTAATGAATTCACAATGTAAATTGTTAAAACATTGTTTGTAATTGAACTCAGGTGTAGTATTCAATAAAATTGTGTTTTGAATTCAAAATCAAGTCTAGTTCAATGAAGTTTCTACTTCAGCATCCTTTGTCAATCTTACTCTTATATCTAAACCAGTCACCAATGAAAATCAGATTTAAAATACAAAAGATGAGCTCTAGTTGTTTAAGAATAATGGCCTCAATTTTGAAAGATGGATTTCAGAAGCTTTGGTCATTTTAAAGTGAATTATGTTGATAACTATGAAGGTACAGTATTATTTATACTACAACTATCAGAAAAATCTAAGACTGCTTATTTACAATTATCATAAATAGTTAAAACAGAAAAAAACACAAGAAAATAAAAAATAAAACATAAAAAATTCCTGAAGTGCACTAATAAAAAACCAACCCGAAAATCTACATTTTTTTTTTCTCTGAAATAGAAGCCATAAATACTAATTATAAGACTTGACAGTACTCAAGTTATAGGAAATCTTCACGTCATGCTATTACAACCCTCAGGGGGATCTGATTGGCTGTATTCGCTGGCGTACCATCTAATCAAATGTATTATGTGATACAAGAAAGGCAAGTATTGGAGTCAAGGTTGAAATAGCTCGACATTTAGAAGATGAACTCGACTAATCAAGTTATAAGTGATATTTTTGATTGATGAAAATTAACCAAGATACAACTGAGATCAATTGAGTACCAGCAAACATCTGAATAAAAATAGAAAAACAGTCAGAGTAAAGTTGACTACAAAAACACTAAATAATACAGAAATGTTTCGAAAACTAGGGCAGGTAACTTAATATAGCTCCTATAGATTCTGTCATTGCTTATATATGACTCTTCAGACCTTATCAAATGTGGCACATTTTGAGTTGTCTTGCTAAGATGTAAGTTTACTGTCTTGAACCCTCACGTTACCCAATTTTATCCATGAAATTGGTTTGGTGGTGAAACGGTCATATATAAATACACCTTTATTTATCACATACACTCAAGCTAGTTCCAATATCTCATCAGAAAATAACTTATTAATTATGAGTGGCAGTAGTCATATATTTACTAGACTCGCCAGCATGACTTCAGTCACCCTTAACACTTTTCAGAATTGAAGACAAACTTGGCATCTGTAGTCAATTCTGAAAAGTGATAGAGATCTCTCTACGAATTCTCAAAGCCAATCTATATAAACAAATATCTATTATATGGAATCCAGCCCAGGTTAAAAATCTTACGATATAAAACTGATTGTCAGAAGAAAAATGAAATGAATGGAATTTTATGTTGTACTAAACCATATTGGACTAAACAAGACGGACAACACCATACAGTGTTCAAAGGGTAATTTTACCAGGACAGCAGCATTAGCTTCCTCTTTTTTGATTGACATTAGGCTTTATATGAAATTCAGTGAAAATGTTCACGCACACCAGCAATTTGATTTCACCAAACACGAATGGTCTACCACCAAGCCATGATAGAATGATAAGAGTTAAAAGTTATGATTCCAGAATATTTAAAATTGTAATGGAAGTACAAACAATGTTGAATTGAAATCACAAAAGCACAGGCCACGGTGAAATTTTTGAGATGTTAATGGTTGATATGACATAAACGTTTGAGCATGATCGAATTCCGTGAGCTTCAAACCTGAATTATTTGGAAAAAATATAAAAGATGTTTTTTCACAATTTGATTATTTCAATACATTTATTCTTTGCCATTTATAAAATTTTTCAATCTGATTAAAATACAGCTTTTAATATTTCATTTTGTGTTGATTACTCTCGCTCAAACACTAGATCTAACAATGATTATAAGAAAGCATGTTCACAAATTTTGCCAATCAATGCTTTGTTTACCATATTTTTGCAGTGCAGTTGTTTTCATCCAACTGAGTGTGCAGACTGCCGATTGGTTATTGATTATTGATAAGTTATCAATCAGTTATTATGTCTTTAGAAATCAGGTTGAACTATATGTAAAGAGGAATGGTGTCAGATCTAGATTGAGTGAAGTTATCCTACAGCAAAATGAACTAAATGAATTGTATTTTACAGATTGTTGATATTTAGATGTCATGCTTACATCAAAAATTCCTGAGTTTGTTTTTAACTGAATGTTTTAACGGAAATACAATTTAATTTTTAAACAATTTCATTCAAAAAACTAATCTACTCATGCATAGAATCAAAGTTTGGGTCTTCACAATGGTACACATACAAAATTAGAAAACAAACATGATGATACGATAAACTGATGACATATAAACAATTAGTAGGGAAAATATATTTATAAACACTTCAGAACGTTTTCAATAAACAAGAAGAGTCTGTTTGGTTTCAGGTAGAATAAATGATTGAGGTTATTTCTGAATATTAACAAGAGTACATTTTATGTTTCTCTCAAAATAAATGATATTTAATACTATTAACATTAAAAGTTAGATTTTGATGTTAAAATTTATTGAGATACATAGGCCTCCTTTCCAACATTTCATTGGATTTGTATGATATATTAAAAAGCTAACATGTAAATTTTCCTCCCTAATTTTCATGATAAAAGGGACCAAGATCATTCACCTAAAATACCTCCAAATAGAGTACACTGTTCATAATTCTGTGCATTTATACCAATAAAAATATAACACCATGCTCTGTATTCTCAAAACCATCTTATTGCTAGGTTGTCCTAGGTTCTTATCTTCTAACATTGATTCTAGTACATCCTAGCGCTAAGATCGTTTTGAGAATACAGGGCCAGATTTAATGTGAAAAAGGGGCCAAACTACCTTTAAAATAAAGTAGACTGTTTGTGTTTATATTTTGAATTGTACCTCAATGGTTATAAATATATTTGCCCTACTACACCAAACAACATATAATATCAATGACATTATTTCATTCAACACTTAAATCACACAATTTTCATCAATAAAATATTAAATTTGTACATTCTGGTAAAATTCATTTCACAACTATTGACAATAGGATAAGGCAATTAGTGGATCATTAACTCAAACATTGGATAAATGGTTAAAAATAGACAAATTCTTAACAATAAATGACTTAGTCAAATAGCAAAGTTTCATCTATTTAGAGAGAACTTGAATTGTGATCATAGCTTCAAATGTTTAAAAACACCCATTTTCATGTTTCTAGTCAAATAAATTCTTTTTCAAAAAACATTTGGGATACATGAAAATAAGCTTTTGCACAAGTTTCAAAATACTCTTTATAAATTTCAAGAAATTTGATTTGTAAATACAATAATTGCTTTTATCCAATCAGATCTATCATCTGAAATCTTTATTATTCTGCCAAGATATCTCTGATTGGTTAAAAATCTGAAAAAAAAATAAAACCAACCAATCAGAAGACTGTACAATATCAAAAATTATGATATTTATTTGATAGAAGCCAGTGATGAAATCAAGAAGAGTGCCCTGACAGGTGCCCTTACACTATAGTGATTACCAGTTGTGTATAGTTGTTAATAATGAAAGTGGTCATGAGTTCTGATTGCAACTTGAAACTCAGTTGCATGAGAGTTGCTTTCAAAACTTATGACTTACGATATTCTTATTAACCCTTTCAACCTTAGCGACCGGTTTACCGGCTACATAGGAACGAAATATATACCCGAGCAGCCGGTATACCAGCCGTTACTAAGTGATGTCATACCTCGTTAACGTTATGCGCTTTTACTGTTATTACTTGGAGTGTAGGGTATATAACGTTATATTTCATTTACACTCAGGGTTCAAAAGGTTAACAAACCATACACAACCATCGATCGCTATGGAGTAAGGGCCACTTCATATACAATGTGCAAGAATCAAATGATATAAATAAGGACGTAAAACAACATCAATATGATATAATTCATGATTATCAAATATTATACACTTATACCCCTTAAAGACTTGTACACAAGACTATAGACACATCTTCTCCTTCACAATACAACACAAATTAACTCTTAGAAGATTACATACACATATATATAGTGCCCAGATAGTGTCACATGCCATACAATCAGTCACCTATGAGTGTCGATTAGGAAATTTGCTAGTCACACAGGACAAGTTTTGAACATAGATTTAGGACAATCAAAATAATGGAAGACAATTTTATGGTATCCTACTCTTTAGGTTAAATCCATAAAATTGTGCTCTGTTATTTTAGATTAATAATCAGAATTAAAAGATTTTTTTAAAAAGATTCATTAATACATCAATTTATGATGCCAGTCTTTGCCCCAAGATATTTCAATGTTTATTGCATCTCATAAAATATATTAGAAACTTTCGTAAACTTAATAGTAATTGGTGTGTATTGTTTTAATTTTTGTAGCTTTGAAAAGTATTAAGTACTACACCATTGCATTGCTATATTTTGGCTTGCAATTGTAATATGTTTGTAAACAATCGCTACATTTTTACAAGTGCTGTAAATCTGCTTGTAATTGTAAAGGCTTTGCTAAAAATTGCTGTATTTTGGCTTACAACTGTTACATGTTTCCTTGTAAATGCTGTAGCTTTACTTGCAATTTTGAAGCTTTGCTATTTATCAATATCTACACCTCTTTCATCGTAATGGCTGTTATTCTGGGATCAATTTTGTTGCTTTGTCATCAATTGCTACACCCTTTCATCTCAACTGATGTGAAATTGATGAAGCTTGGTTTATATCTATAGATGATATTAACCAAAGTAAGTCCTTAGCAACCAGTTCAGTTTTATTGTGTTTACTCTCTTGGGCCAGCCATTATTGCTATTGTTGAAACCTTCATGTGCAGATTAATTAGCAATATTTTCTATATTGTGCAAGATGATATGTTACAGTTTCATTCCATTCATTCGGTCTAATGCCACTGGGTACATGGTTAATTTGACTTTTAATTTGTCAGTTAGGTCTGATACGATCTTCAAAATGTCTGGTGTGAATTTGGTCCAAATAAGTTTTGACACGTCAGATGTGATTATGTTGAGTTTCACTGGTTCATAAAGAAAACTTGTGATTTCAGAGCATCAACGATATGTTAGTAATTTGTGCAGTTATGTGTCTTGGTCTTCAAGTCTTTTGTCATGTTATCAAGACTTGTTCATCCAGCCTGATGTGTTGTCAATATCCGTTGCTTATGTTGATAATTGTGCTGCCGATCTAGATTTGTTTATCCAGCCTGATGTGCTGTCTATTTAACTATGTTGATGATTGTGCTGGCGATATAGACTTGTTCATCCAGTCTGATGCGTTGTCTATAGAGATTGTGCTGTTAATCTAGACTTGATCATCCAGCCTTAGTCTATATTGTTTTTGTCATCCAGTCTGATGTGTCGTCTATAGAATCTATGTGTTGATGATTGTGCTGTTACCCGATGATGATGTTATTTTCGTCGATGTTTACGGAAGCGATGTTTACGATATGATGACGGATGGATATTAACAGCAGTATTGGGAGGTAGTTGGGTGATCGGAATGACTTTTTTTTTCAACTCCATAGCTTCATCTTCTGTCACCCAGACATCAGGCAATCTACAATATAACAATTACATATCAAATAACAGAATACTACTTTTTAATTCTATTGTACACAATGTTTGAACAATTTACATTGTCATTATCAGATGAAATGTTAACAGACCATAATATCAAATATAGTTTGATCTAAAGTTTAGTTAACTTGTCAACTCATTTATGCTCAGGTATGACATGATTTTCAAATCAGTCAAATTTTTTAATAATGCAAAGGGAGGTAATCAAGCTTAACTGACAAGATCATCAGAATGTTGGTTTTTGAGTTTTACATCCTACTTTTCTGCACCATGTGGGCAACGCCATGCAGGGTGCAATGGGGGAAATTTTGCAAGGACAGCTGCATTATCCTGCTCTTTTTCGACCTGTTGGGTCAAAGGTTAGTCCCTATTAATATTGCAAAACTGTGCAGTGAAGAAAGCAGAAAGCAAGTCTGTCCACCTTATGTAATTCATTTTCATATTGATTGATTAAGGATGGGTATTCGACTTGTTTCATTGATTTTGTGATAAGTGGAATGAGAGTTTCTTTTCATCCTAATGGACTCTCTTAAAGGTTATTTTGCATGGCGGTGAATTTGTTCAGTTGCTGTTATTCAGTTCAGTGGTTAATCCATTAATTTTTCATTACCATAGGTTCCCTCCCCTTATTTTTTCTGCCTTAAAGTGATCAACTTACATGTTTGAAGGTTTCCATTGTAATAAAAGATGAGTTTTCCCTGAATCATCAGTTTTTCTTGCAATAATCTGAAAATAATAAGATTTATAGTGTATGAATAATTCTAGGTGTTAAATGTGTGGAAGCTACATGACAGAAACATAAATATTTTTAAATAAAAATTTTTGAAAAAAGTTACAAAAAAAAAAATGAAATGGAGATTTATCGTCTAGTTATAAATACATGTCATCTGAATGACGAAAAATATCTTCAAACTATACAATCTGTAGCAGATGAGATCTACAGATAGTTTCTTGCACTATCCAATTGACTAGACACTTTTTCTATTCCAGCCCATGGATCACTGACGAGGTGTAGGGACAAGAGCGGTCTTGGTCTGCGATTTTAGTAGCCAACTAGAGCCTTGCCATGAGTTTCACCGACCAGCTACAAGCACACAAAGGGACAAAAAAACCCAAAACTGTTGTTTTCTACTATGTCTTGTGCAGAGCATGCAATTGAAAGGAAAATGAATCTGATTGGTTGATGATGTTCTGTCTTGCAGACAATAAAACTATCGGAGACAATTATCGAACTGGTTTGTTATTATAAATCACGTTAGCAACACAATAATCTTTTCGTAGGTGCACGGGCAAAAGGTGAGATTTTATTCAACATTTGAGCCAGCGTCCAAGACTGTTCGTGTGCTTGCACCCTCGATCAGCTGAAGTTATCGTACTGGGCTTGTTGTATTTACTTACTGAACTATGGAATGTAAGAGAGTAGATGACTTACTGAACTATGGAATGTAAGAGAGTGGATGTCTTACTGAACTATGGAATGTAAGAGAGTGGATGACTTACTGAACTATGGAATGTAAGAGAGTGGATGACTTACTGAACTATGGAATGTAAGAGAGTGGATGACTTACTGAACTATGGAATGTAAGAGAGTGGATGACTTACTGAACTATGGAATGTAAGAGAGTGGATGACTTACTGAACTATGGAATGTAAGAGAGTGGGTGACTTACTGAACTATGGAATGTAAGAGAGTGGATGACTTACTGAACTATGGAATGTAAGAGAGTGAGTAACTTACTGAACTATGGAATGTAAGAGTGGATGACTTACTGAACTATGGAATGTAAGAGAGTGGGTGACTTACTGAACTATGGAATGTAAGAGAGTGGAGTAACTTACTGAACTATGGAATGTAAGAGAGTGTGTGACTTACTGAACTATGGAATGTAAGAGAGTGGATGACTTACTGAACTATGGAATGTAAGAGAGTGGATGACTTACTGAACTATGGAATGTAAGAGGGTGGGTGACTTACTGAACTATGGAATGTAAGAGAGTGAGTAACTTACTGAACTATGGAATGTAAGAGAGTGTGTGACTTACTGAACTATGGAATGTAAGAGAGTGGATGACTTACTGAACTATGGAATGTAAGAGAGTGGATGACTTACTGAACTATGGAATGTAAGAGAGTGGATGACTTACTGAACTATGGAATGTAAGAGAGTGGATGACTTACTGAACTATGGAATGTAAGAGAGTGGATGACTTACTGAACTATGGAATGTAAGAGAGTGAGTAACTTACTGAACTATGGAATGTAAGAGTGGATGACTTACTGAACTATGGAATGTAAGAGAGTGGGTGACTTACTGAACTATGGAATGTAAGAGAGTGGGTAACTTACTGAACTATGGAATGTAAGAGAGTGGATGACTTACTGAACTATGGAATGTAAGAGTGGATGACTTACTGAACTATGGAATGTAAAAAATGGGTAACTTACTGAACTATGGAATGTAAGAGTGGATGGCTTACTGAACTATGGAATGTAAGAGAGTGGATGACTTACTGAACTATGGAATGTAAAAGAGTGGATGACTTACTGAACTATGGAATGTAAGAGAGAAATGAAATGAATGGAGTTTTACGTCCTACTTTTCTGCACCATGTGGGCTAATGAAGACGGCAAAAATGTAAGAGAGTGGATGACTTACTGAACTATGGAATGTAAAAGAGTGGATGACTTACAGAACTATGGAATGTAAGAGAGTGGATGACTTACTGAACTATGGAATGTAAGAGAGTAGATGACTTACTGAACTATGGAATGTAAAAGAGTGGATGACTTACAGAACTATGGAATGTAAGAGAGTGGATGACTTACTGAACTATGGAATAATGAAGATGACAAAAATGTAAGAGAGTGGATGACTTACTGAACTATTGAATGTAAGAGAGTGGATGACTTACTGAACTATGGAATGTAAGAGAGTGGATGACTTACTGAACTATGGAATGTAAGAGAGTGTGGTGATCCTGTAACATCTATAGAACATCTATCTGTTATATCTTGTATTTGTTGATGTAACATGTCCATTATTCCGCTATCAAAAAAATCTCCCACTCGCACTGGAAAAAAAATAACAATAATTAAATGGTGAACTTGCAATGATATAACTGTGATATTTGGTAATGTTGTTGATAGGAATGGTTAATGTCTACAGTCTTATAAATACAATTTCAGTCAGTGAGAAAAATTTATGATTGCACTCGCCGACTTCCAAAAAATTCCCACTTGATATTGAATGAGAAGTATGATTAAGTATCCATACATGTTGATATTGTGGCTTGTATCACGATGAATTGAATCGCAGATATATTGTGCCAGCACTACCAGTGACCCAGGACATATTGTCAATAGCAATTATTTCAACATGCAAAAATGTTACATGATACATGTTCATAATGTCTCTTGATACATACATAATCAATTTCAATTCAGACACCAGTATTGATTTGAATATCTAAAATTAAATGAATTGAAATAATTTTTTAACTCTGTCTCACATTTCTAATTATTTATTTATCTATAAAACTGCCTCATAGATAGACATGAAACAAAAAAACCATAGACTGAATTTTAAAAAAAGTATCGTTTTTACGAAAATATCGATAAAGTAATTGTTGTTTTGTGAACTTCGTGTTTAAACTTATTAAGAAAACAGTTTGATTTTGAATTTTTTTAAAATGACAATTTTAGGATAACTATATAGATGTTTAAAAATATATCGAATAAAACGTTGCATATTCCCATTTAAAACCTGATATATAAAGTTATAAATTAATAAATATATTGTAACTTAAAAGATAAAATGATAACTTTTATCTCATTACCCCATATTGGGATATGTATCGTATGGTGACTCTTGTATTTACGATACATCTCGTATCGTGACATGATTGGCAATACCCAGCACTAGTCCCAACATATAAATATATCAAAAATAAAGTATATAAGAAATCTTTATAGCTCTTTAACTTCTTTTTCAAATGAGTTGTTCTGAAGATATATTATGTGACATAAAACTTATTACCTACATATTAGGCTACATGAGTTAACAGCAATATAAATTTAGTCAATTATTTTATCCATGCAGACTTTTTTGTTCATGATATCATATATCACATAAGCCTATATATCAACAAAGTTTTTGCCCAGATTGAATAATTTTTATGTTGTAAATCATCTCATTTCTATTATATTTGCCTACTTATTTATCAATTTTATATCTTTTTATCATTTTATACATATTAAGTTTTATACATTTTTAAAAAGAGATTTGCTTTTTTCTCTAGAGTTTAATTTCACTCTTTTGCGATGCAGCTATATAGATAGCTTGCCGGGCAAGGTAACATACGCCCACTACCAGCTGTCAGAAATGATAAAGTCTGTAGTGGTTTAATATGTGAAACCAATCATCTGATTTTTAATAATTTCAAGCTTTACTGAGAGTTTCATCAATATCGTATAAAAAATGTAGTCTCTATCAGGCCTACAAGCCAAATTAGACACATTGAATTAATTCAAAGGCAATAACTCCAAAACCGTTCAACCGATTGTTACCAATCTCAACTTGACTGAGATTTTGTCCATATATACATGCATACCAAGTTTCATTGAGATCAGATAAAAACTGCACCCTGTTTCATTACTACAAATTTGTAGGGTTCTTACTAAATCAAGGGCAATAACCCTGAAATCGTTCATCCAATTATTACTAACTTCAAATTTGAAATATATACATATATGCTAAGTTTCATCAAGATTGGATCAAAATTGTAGCCTTTATCTTGCATACAAGCCAAATTTAATGCGTTTTAAAGTCAAGGGCAATATCTCTGAAACCGTTCGTCTGATTATTACCAATTTTGAACTTGACTGACATCTCATCAATATCTACAAGCATACTAAGTTTCATCAAGATCAGATTAAAATTGCAGCCTTTATTGTGCATACAAGCCAAATTTAACGCGGTTTTACTAAGTCAAGGGCAATAACTCTGAAACCGTTCATCCGATTAATACCAATTTCAAACTTGACCGAGATCTCATCAATATATACACACATACTAAGTTTCATCAAGATCAGATAAAAACTGTAGCCTCTATCATGCATACAACAAATGTGGACGGACGGACGGACGGACAGGGGCGAAGGCAATATACGTCCACATTTCCATGTGGGCGTATAAAAATGATCTAGTCTGATCGTCTTTAGTGATCACCTGAATCTAGGTATTAGGGGTTGAAAGCTGACACCAAGCCAACTCTCGGAAGCACAGGCACAGGTATTGGAATTTTTGAAGAGGCTTCAAACCCACGGCACCTTAACACCTAGCAGACCACATTCCCACTCGCTACTGACTGAGCGCTTGATTGAAGAGTTCTGAACAGAATTCTGTCTGCTCTAATTCTGCCCTCAATCGAACAGTATGGAAGCCAATATATCACATTCAAAATTTACCCATCTTATTTTGAATTCAGTATGCACCTACATTTTTTTTTTTTAACAAATGGGGCACGTTCTGAACTCTGTTCCAACTTGTTTTATTGAATGTCTCGTTGATTCCACGAATCCCAAACCTCCAGAACTCAGCAATTTAGCGATCCCTAAGTTTGTCAGCTTGTCAAATCATCCTATTTAGAGCGTGACATTTATTCCATGTTGAATCACGTAAGAATATCACCCACCCACAAACACAGGTAAAAACTAGAACACTTGTCCTGAACATTATTATTTATGTTGACTTTACAAAAAGGATTCCAGGCCAAGCATTTTCGAAACAATCTTAGTGCTAGGATATCCTAGAAACAGTGTTAGAAGTTACGACTCTAGGATATCCTAGAAACAGTGTTAGAAGTTACGACTCTAGGATATCCTAGCAACAGTTAAGTCATCCTTGCACTAAGATTGTTTTGAGAATACGCTATCCAATTGACAAAAGAATTCAAAGAGTAGCATCATGATTTAACATAATTTTCTCAGCTTAATGACTGGATTTTTTTATTTCAATATTTAATATCATTTTCAAACAGAAAACAGCCTAGGTCAGTTCTTCTATTTCTACAACACTTATCATAAAAAGCTTCACTTGGGCTTCCATAAAAAGAATTTCCTGAGTAGTCTCTAAGAAATAGAGGACATGCTTTTGTGACCTAGGTCAGTGCTTTTATAAAATTATGTTCTCCTCACCACTTAACTACAAGCTCTGTCTTCCATAATACATGTTACCTAAACTGAAGGTTTCAAATATCAAAAGATGGCAAGTGGTAATAGTAGGACCCTAAGTAAGGACAGGTGTTAAGTGAGTGAAAATCGAACACAATAACTTAAGAGATCCCTCAGTTAACCCCACCTGCAGATCTTCATTATAAACAGTATTCAGTTATATACTAGGTCAGTGTGACATAAACTTGTAATAAACTTTATTATTTATAAACTCTCTGTTTTAAATAAAACTCAAATTCAAAATTTATATTTATAATATGTTAAGCTTACTTGATTTATAAAGCTTGTACTGATAATTCTATAAATCAAATTTTAAATGCTTGCATTCTTTCATTTTGTTAACCTACTCTACTTCAAACTTTTGCTAAGATATGCCTTTTTATCCCTATGGCATTATCTTAATAAATCTTATTCCAAACTTTATATCTTTCATTATATAATATTCCAAAATATACATGCTTATCTTTCAATCCAATTTTAAAATATTTTATTTATAAAGCCACAGTGTTTTAAAGCACTCATGTAATTTTATAGTAGTTCATATATATATATATGTGTATGAAAGCCTGAAGCTTTACTATAATAAACTATATTTCAGTTTAAAATATCTGTCATTACATATTAATATTTCACTTCAGGGATTGTAACGAGGTTTTTATAAACTTTGTATATGTATTGGGGAGACTGTTATCATCCATTTGCACCATTCCATATCTCAGTCAGACGTCTGTGATTCATGCAATTTCACTAAACCTAGGCACTTAATGACGTCACTATCGCAGAGGTCGCTTTAGACCTCTTATTTTACAAGGCTTTAGGATTTTAACCGCCTGACTGAAAAATTGGAAAGTTGGCATAATAATGATGGTACATTGATGACCCAAACTTAGGCCCAGCTTAAATAATTTCCAAATAAATACCAGTATACCATAAAAGACTAGGCATATAATATATATATGATAAGCTATCATAATATTCACATGATGTTTTCTTTGTATCTTTCAGCAAGACACATGGGGACTTGCCCAAGCCAACCAGCAAAAGATAATGCAGGCAAAACTTAAAGACTTCCAAATCTTTCAATTACTCGACTGAGAAACTAAAAACTTCAACTTACCTCCTGCAGGACGTCTTCGTTTTAATTTGCGTTTTTTTAACAACTTAGTAGGAGTACTATCACCTGATTTAACAACTTTTTGCTGAGAAGATATACTGTTAAAATGGCGGTTCACATGCCTTTCTAATCCTGTCCGGTTTGTGAACCGCAAATTACATTTATCCACAATACATTTGAATGGTTTATCACCACTATGGCATACAATATGGCGCTCAAGCCATGTTATAGATTTGGACGCTTTATCGTACACTTTACAACCATCCCACAAACACACAAAACTTTCGCGATTTGACTGAGTATCCACATGTTTTTGTCGAATATGGTTCATTAAATCAGTTGATTTTAACGATATATCACAATTCTTCCAACGACACACGACACTTTCCTCCACTTCTGTCACCGTGGCATCAGATCCATTTTCAGTCACGGAGGAGGTCGACGTTGACGTTACATTATTTGAGATCCCATAAGGCAAAGGTGTTCCTGATCTAGATGAATTTGGAGTGGTTGATTTTGAATTATTCCCTGTCCATGATGGTATTAGAAAGGTAGGATAAGTACCATTTGTTGTGGTTGTCTGTGAGATTAGGGGAGATAACTCACATTTCTGTTTATTTATCCCTGCCGTGTTGAGTAAACAAGGGCCAGTCTGTTTCAGATCTGGAGTACATGATTGCAGAATGTCTGGTAATGGCCCCTTCATTTTTTTGACGTCTATGACATGATGAGAGAAGTCTGTGGTGGAGGTTGGTGTACAAGACTTATCACAAGATCTGAGACAACACATGGATCCATTATCCGTGAATAAACTATTCGCTACCTTAGTCTTACTAATAGAGCTGGTGTTTTGTTTGGCTGGTGAGATTCCATTGCTACAAGCTGTTAAACAATCCTGACCATTTAAACATCTACAAATATACAAAAAAATATCCAATCATTATACATCAAATGTACAAAAAAAAATCAGTTAATCATATATCAGATATTTACTTCTTGTGCATCATATGATGTTTGATGTATATTATACAAAAATTAAAAAACTATTTTCACTGCTTAAATAGTGCTTATTAATTGTAGAGTGATATAGAAATACCATTGTTAAAATAGTGCTCAATACATCAATTATAGAGTGATATAGAAATACCATTGTTAAAATAGTGCTCAATACATCAATTATAGAGTGATATAGAAATACCATTGTTAAAATAGTGCTCAATACATCAATTATAGAGTGATATAGAAATACCATTGTTAAAATAGTGCTCAATACATCAATTGTAGAGCGATATAGAAATACCACTGTTAAAATAGTACTCAATACATCAATTATAGAGTGATATAGAAATACCACTGTTAAAATAGTGCTCAATACATCAATTATAGAGTGATATAGAAATACCACTGTTAAAATAGTGCTCAATACATCAATTGTAGAGCAATATAGAAATACCACTGTTAAAATAGTGCTCAATACATCAATTGTAGAGTGATATAGAAATACAACTGTTAAAATAGTGCTCAATACATCAATTGTAGAGCGATATAGAAATACCACTGTTAAAATAGTGCTCAATACATCAATTGTATAGCGATATAGAAATACCACTGTTAAAATAGTGCTCAATACATCAATTGTAGAGTGATATAGAAATACAACTGTTAAAATAGTGCTCAATACATCAATTGTAGATGTCTTTAATCAGAGATTCAAGTAACAGGTTCTGTTTCAATATTTCTCCAAAAAAATATGACACCAAAATACAAAATTATTCATCATCAAACATTAAAAAGTGCATTATCTTTCAATTTATTCATTATACTGGTAAATAACAGCCAAAAATAGATTGTTTCTAATCAATCAAATGTGTAAGCTTACTTATACACAAATATTAAATTATTGTAGACAAAAGAGAAACTCATAAAACTTTATTAAGTTCCACATTCACCTACAAACCACAACTAACACACAAACTTTTTTTCAAATTCCTTTTCTACTTCAATTACAGTATAACATGATCACTTAAAATATATCAAGCAGAAAAAATAAACTTATTTTAAAATATTATTTTCAGTTTTTATAAAAATAATTGAGAGAGGTATATTAAACAGAATTCATTATAACTCTATACAGATAATAGCTTTCAATCAATATTCTTCAATATGTCATCCTTAAATATAATATAGAATTCATAGTAGAAGATAAATATCTGTTCCATTATTTACTTAGGTAATCTCAGAAGTTAGAAATGGTTTAGCAATCTGGTTTTAAGTATTTACCAAAGATTTTAAAGACATGGTTTGGCAATCAGAAACAAGGGAAGAAACATTTATTTGTGTGGGCCTACTCTAATCTCCATACAGTTTCCAGAATTTTCTAAAATAATTAAAATCCCAATCATCAATATTAAAACTGATAAAGACGAATGGAAAAGATAGTGGACCACAGCCATATACGTCCACCATGGCATGCAGATGGTAAATATTCAAGATTTTGGGGCAAGGGCAATAACTCTGCTTCTAACGGTCGAAAATAGCTCAAATTCGAACTTGATCTTCGTTTGATGGATATGTATACACATACCGAATTTCATTTGATTCCATCAAAAAATCTAGTTTTTAGAGCGTTTACAAGCAAATGTTGACGGACGGATGGCGGACGGATGGCGGACGGACGGGGGTGCAGACAATATACGTCCACATAGAGAGATGTGGGCGTATAAAAACTGATATCAAAACTACAATTCAGATGATAAAGTATTGTGGTGTTTCTAACTAAGCAGACAGGGCATGCTTACAATGGCACTTTGAGAATGAATTTATAATTTTGAGATCTCATTTAGAGAATCCACATGGCAAATTCTATTTATTTTGTACATTCCACAACAGTTTCAAGACAGACTCTTCCAGAATCACTTTGTGAGTGGATAAAAACTCAACATCTTTCAGAGAGTCCACATAGCAAATACTGTTTTAGTGTTAAATTTATGAATTTTACACAAACTGACAACAGCAAGACCCTCTGGAATATAATTTCTCTCAAATCTAAAGGCATTAATCCAATCTATGTTAAATTCTAGAGTAGACATATTTAACTCATCAGTTTGAAATTACAAATAATCTAATGTCTTGAAATGTCATTTAACTAAATATAAGTACAATGTATAGACAGCTTAATAGAACAACAATCACTGGTTAAACTTTAATGAAACCTTTAGACATGCCCAAGGACTGGGCTTCATAAGAATTAGGCATTCACTAGGACTAGGTGTTCACAAGAACTATGGTAGAAACACACCTAAACGTGGGGTAAATCATTAACAATTGATTGTTGTTTATAAAACAGAGTGTATATATATATACTAGTAACTATATCACAGATTATTACCTAGCTAGAGTCCAGAGATTTTCCACTGCTATACAATTCATCTTTAATATCTTTCAATACTACATGTCTCTTTCTGTCTAAACATACACAAAGTACTACAATGACACACAATAAGTGTCAAGACACAGAGAGAGAGAGAGGGAAAGAAAAACTAAGAGTTTGAGAGGTTGTCAGAGGTGTACTACTAGAGCTATGAGACAAGCACCTGTTTTTTACATCATTTAGAAATGACACGAGGAGTTTTCAAGTCAACACTAACCTTCAAATGATATTTTAACACATTTTCTCATTTACACGTAAATAAACTCTTAAAAGTCAACCTTAGAGTTAAGTCTAGTTCATCTTTACCTTCACAAAGGAAATTATTTATGTCAACAGCACAGATCTGACATTATTGTCAGTTGTAAACAAACAAATATAAACAAATACAGTGAAATTATTATTAGAAATATACCCACTAATTAGTCAATTATTCAGTAATCATGTTATGCTTGCAAATTGAGTCTAAATTCATCACAAAGAATTCACAAAACTGAGGAAAATTGAAATAAAAATTGGAATTTCCAGAAAAAAGTTAGCATCTCTCATACAAATATTTTACTTAAAACTTCTTGCAGAACTTAAGGTAACTTTTGATAAAAATATGTATAATAAATTTAACCAATTAAAAACTGGAAAACTTTCCCCAAAAGACTTCACAAAATTATGGCAAATGAAAAGAATTATTTTATAAATCTAATTACATTGTTTAATCTGATAACTATATATTGATAATGTAATAAACTTGCTTCTCAAAGGACAAGGCAAACTAAAACATTTATAAGTCAAACTGAAAATGAAATGAATGGAGTTTTACATCCTACTTTTCTGCACCTTGTGGGCTAATGAAGATGGGATAATTTACACTGAGCCAAAGTATGTAATTACTAGACATAAAAAACCTATTGACATCTGTAGCTCATCTTCATATCAATCTATAAATACAAAATATATTAAATTTGACCTTTTATAAGATCAGATCTTTTTTTATACCAGAGCACAGTTTCTCAAAAAAGAATTCTTCGGATAAAAAATCTGTCTATCAAAAATGATCAAAAATAAAACCTACTGATACTGAAAGTTCATCTTTATATCCATATATCCATAAATATTATAATTTGAGCCATAAGTTAATTATAAGATTTTTCTTATTCTTCAGCTTAAAATCTGTGCTGGTGGTTAGTGAGAAATTTGACACCAGACCCAACATCACACTTACATCTCAAATTGACCAAGTAAATAAGGTAGAATAGGGTTCATCATCCCTTTTTTCCAACATAAAACTCAGCAACCTTTTTAACTGAACCCAGCCTAATCCTTTAACCCTTTAACAGAAGAAAATGGGATGATTTTGAATTTAAAGAGAAAGAAGACAAAGAAAAAAGATTGTATTAAGTTCTGGTTGATCAAGTAGTAGTTTATAATAAAGGTGGGGTTAGAGGAAATAAATGTGGTTAAATTCTAAAATTAAATCAAATTAATATCCCGATATATCAAAGGGATACAGTCAACTAATCAGAATAAACGCCTGGCCAGCTGACAGCTATGTATAACTCATCTTCAGGATGAAATATAGGCAACGTTTGGTGTATGATTATCAATACAGAGGTAAATAGAAGAAATAAATACAAAATTCAGGGGTGTGGACACGATAGTCTTCTTTCCTTTTGTATCAATAATCTTGCATCATACACTCTGATATATCTAATCTCTTCCCATTTTCTCAATCTCCTAACTGTATAATTCACTTACTTTGTTTATATGCCTTCTAAAGCCCTAAGTTTGAAATTTAAAAAAAAATTAATATTCTTGGGAAGATTTTGAGTCAGCAGCATGACGATTAGAAATAAACACAGTAAAATTTTCAACTGATATCAACCTAAAACTAAAGTTTAAAACTTAATTAATATTCTTAGGAAGAATAGTCTTTTCATAAAATAGTTAGATTT